TATATATATATATATATGTGTGTGTGTGTGTGTGTGTGTGTGTGTTGCGTAAACTGAATAAACATTTGGAAGTCACATGGTACTACACAACCTTTTTCTATAAGCGTCTTTTATGAGCGTATAGCCATCTATACGACATAATACGATAGTTCGTGTAGCTCGGTTCGGCTATGCGCATCCATGAAGCCTTGACATGAAACGGCAGGAAAGAGGCAACTCGGAATTCGCAAATTCCCGGGGCAAAGATAGCGCGTAGTATCACACATCTATCAGCCCTGCGTGATTGTTCCGGAAGCACGCGTCCCCTTTTACACGCCCGCTCGCACGTGTGTGAAAAGCATGCGAGGGTTGGCAGCGCGTCCAAATAACGCCTCCCAGGAGCATCGGCTTTTCTTACACGCAAGAGCGCATTCGTATTGGATCTGCGGGCGTTACGAGACGTGCAACGGGACCTCCACAGTATTCAGAACATTTTTTCTCTACGCTTTCGTTCGTCAATTCCGAATTTGTGAGAAACGTCGTACGTCGACTGCTCCTGCAAAGTTAGCCCGTCATGCGTGCGTATAAGTGAGCGGCTGCAGCGCCTGCCTCGTGCAAGAACTTTGGCACCGATGCGACCAATTTCCGTCGTAGTCGTCGGCTTCCTATATATGCGTGGCTGCCACACACTCGAAGAATTGTCTCACGGAAGTTTCCGAACACAAATGCAACGCAGGGAGACGCGTACTATCCCCCCTCTTGTTGCGCAACACATTCGAGAAGCGCAAATACCGGGACGTAAAACTTCGTACAACTCGCGACTCAGTCATGTGAAATAATCGCAGCGACGGGGCGAATAACGCGAGCCTTGGCGCGTCGTATCTTCGCATGTAACGGGTAAATCCGATGGTGCCGTGGAACTCTTATTTCCGTAGGAAATACCTCGAACCTCACGCAATAGGGTCGCGGATTAAAAGTGAATGTAGCTATTCTCAGAAGCCAGACTCGAATAAATTGAAACTTGGACCACCTTTTTTCAAAGGTTGGCCTGTGTTCACAAAAGCTTTTACGCCTATTCTGGTAGCTTGTAGGTTGTTGCTAAGATTTAGCTAGGTTATGATAGCTTTGTTTTTAGCTTGATTTTATATTGTTGCTAATCTTCAGCTAGGTGATGCTATAGATTTGTTTCTAGCTTTCTTTTATTAGATTGTTGCTAAGCTTTAGCTAGGTAATGGCAGCTTTGTTTCTAGCTTGCTTTTAGATTGTTGCTAAGCTTTAGCTAGGTGATGGTAGCTTTGTTTCTAGCTTGCTTTTATATTGTTGCTAAGCGTTAGCTAAGCGATGGAACCTTTGTTTCTAGCTTGCTTTTAGATTGTTGCTAAGCTTTAGCTAGGCGATTCTAGGTTGTTTCTATGGGTCGTTCGTGCGCTTTAGCTAGGCTGCTTCTTTTAGATAGGCTGCTTCTATGCTACTTCTAGATTGTTTCCGGGCTTTGGCTATAAAGCTAGAATGTTTTCGGCCAGATTCTAGGCTTTTAGCTAGGTGATGCTAGGCTAATTATATATCGCCGCTATAGGCTTATCGATATCCTGATATCTGGGTGGCTTCTGAGTCTTTGTTGGGCTTTTACCAGTTGTTGTTAGGTTCGTTTTCTAGGTTATTGGATGCTTTGTCATACACTTCACTATCGTCGCCAGCTTCGTCGTCACTGTGCGACAAAATGTAACCTTCACCATTTCTTTTCTCTACCTCTCTCTCTATTTCATCCTGTCCATATATATATATTTCCTCTTTATTTTTATATCCTTCTTTCTCTCCCTTGTTCAGGTGTTTTACAAGTTCCTCTTCGTCGAGCAGAGTTTTCGTTTAACGCCCACTGTACTCGGAAGTCGGGCTTGCCTACATTTCTTGTGGCGCATTCCCACCTGCACGATGAAGCACAACTTACCGATAGCTTCAACAGGTTCACTGTAAGAAGAATGAAGAGTGCACGTGGTGGATCAAGATGGTCATAACTTTTCGTGCACATTGCATACGCCGAGGTGTTCACGGCCGGCCTAACCCACTTCGCTACTAAAAAATAGTCGTGGCTCTGTCAACACCGAAGCTTTATAACATGAGCCCACGAGAATAACTGTGATCGAACCGTTCGTTCCTGATCACCGACGTTCAATGATGTCCGGGTCATCATTTTGCAGAAACGAGGTTGCAAACACGTGCACTGCTGTCAGAACAAAGGCAAGTCTATAGACTTCATTGCTGCTACTTGGGAGCCCTCTTATGTATACTTCCTCACCCAAGGACGCAAGTTTATGCGGATAACGGATGTAACGCTTGGCAACTATTTCCGGCACAGTCGTCATCTATACGGTGGCCACCCTTTCCACATTCTTTAGCAGTTGCATCTAGATATTCAGCGAGCAAACAAGCGTTTGCTGTTCCCTTTTAGTCTTCAAAAAAAAAAAAAAACGTGACAGATGGCACTATAGTTATCCAGGGGGCAAGCAAGGTATTTGAGATTGAACGCGGAATTTTGGGGGGCAATATGAAGGGCTAGAGTATTTCTTACTGGCTGTGCTAGTAAAAATACGCTGTGGTCAAGTTTAATTGAATGCAGGAATAGCGCAACCTAGAAGTAGTTACTTCGTAACGACGGAAGCGAAAAAAAACAAGGACAGAAAAGAGCATGTTCCTGCATTCAGTCATGTCCTACCAACTTGCCCAAGCTTCCACGCTTCATAAGTTCAGTTTAATATTCTGCACAGCGATTTTATTCGGAGTGGTTACCTACGCTTACCACCATGCATGGCCCCGCCACGCTGATCTAGTGCAAAGGTATACTCGGCTACTGAACCGCAGGCCACGGGATCGAATCCCGGCTGCGGTGGCTGCATTTTTGAATAAGGCGAAAATGCTCTAGGCCCGTGTCCTCAGACTTGGGTGCACGTTAAAGAATCTCAGTGGATCGGAATTTCCGGAGCCCTCCACTACGGCGTCTCTCATAATCATATGGTGGTTTCGGGACGTTAAACTCCACATACCAACCACTGTGCATAAAAGGGTTACAGGAGGGGAGAGGTGTCAGTCTGCATGAAGAAAATTCAAAATAGAATTATTATTTTTTCACCTTCTCGGCTGCAGCGTTGTCTGCGCATGCAAAATTTTCGAGAACATGCTGGTTCCAAAAATATGGCCTAGAAAGACTTTAGAAGAAAATTAGTCCAACAGGTGAGCGTCCAAGCTCTTACAGATACTGCATAGAAACTCAAGTGATCTGTTGGCGCAGAGGCGGAACTAAATAAATTCAGATCCTTTGCGGACTTTTGGATCAGTACAACAGCGTCCAAGCATCAGCCAGAAGACTGTCCAAAAAGAGGGTGCTCGAACTTCAGCACAAAGGCACAACCATCCTGAACGTTTGGGATGTGTCAAACATGCATTGTTCTACTCTGCCTTTGGAAAGAAAAAAAAAAGCTGTTTTTCAGAATTCCACAACAAGTTATTCTTTCTCTGCAAAGCGCAAAGTATGCTACTACATGGAAACGACCAGTTTTTACATATGTGCAGTGCATAGACCATTCCAGTACGATGGCCATCAGCGGTGACTAACTCGTGGGAGCTTTTTTACATGTCGTAATTTTCTTTTCGTGTGTGCCCGGTGTTATTGTGTCCTTTGATTATATATTTGCATTAAAATTGAAAATTAAAACCAAAGCCTACTCTTGTGCTTGAAAGAGGTAAGGCAGAGAATGCGCATCTGCAGGAATGACTGGTGGTGGCGCCACGGTGAAGTTCGCGCTCAAGTTCATCGTGACAACATGGATTTTGACGCTGTTGGCCCTGGCGAGTTTAAATATTGATCGGTAACCTCAATTGCTCCAGCTGTCAATGAAAGATTGAAGATGTATTAATAACATTTACAATGCTCAACCTCCCATGCAGACATAGCGTAAAAGATACGCTGTAGTATATATCCTGTCGTATAGTATATGCGGTTATAGGCTAAGTTTGCTTTAGCATTTGTCTTTTCCGATTAGTGTAAACACAAAGCTTAAACGTTACTTCGGGAATATTCTCGACCTATTACGACCTCACATCGTATCACCATTGCAGGCTCACTCCTGTTCCCGTACTGAAAATTGCATCCTCTATTTTGTTCTATCTTAACATTTTAATATGTACCAAATAGCTCATGTAAGCTCCGGCACACCCTGTAAGCTCCCGCCCACCAGTGCGCTGACGGCCGTACCGCCAATCCCATGAGGACTTCCCGACGAGCTCTGGTGAGCCTGATCAACCTCTCTCTCACTAGGCACTGCCGTTTCCGATCCCTCTACAAATACACCGAATCAGTACGCATTGAAAGTTACATACGTCAAAGTTATATGCAGCTAAATGAATCAAATGGACATTTAGTCTAGGAAAAGCATAACAGATGTTCAATGTCTTTGGCCGTAAGGTACTAAGTGCGACGTAGACTGATATGAATTGAAATAGACAAAGGTCACCCATTCCATCGGTGGGATTACAACCCACAACCACCGATCCCACCAATGGATGAATGGTTTTTCATGCACTTCGATTCTTTCAACTTTCGTCCCGATTGTCTCAGTAAAGTTAAAGACAAAATTATCTGTGCCTTTTCTGGCCATATGCATGTTCGGGTAACTTCGAAACATCAACAAGTGCTACAGAAAAAGTTCCCTCTTTGGTTGATATTCCAAAGTGTTCCACCTTTGCCAAGCTCCTTCGTCGATGCACTCAGCAGTGTGACTGCACGTTGCAAGCTCTGTCATTCCAGCTGGTACAGTTACGACGGCAAGACAGTACAATAATGATGGTCGTGCTCGGCGGGGTCGGATTCCTAGCGCATACACATAACGCCAGCCTCGACATCAGTTGTACAATCCCTCCAAAACTACGAAACACTCACGCCCCAACCCTCCTGCGCAACAGAAGTTGCGACGCCTGCATGCAAACGCTCGTACCACACGTTCATCGTTTGAACAGCTCACACTCACCGGCTGCGCGGCGATGAGACGATGGGAGGCCACCGACATTCGAACGAAGCCCGAGTTGGCGCCGCCGACGTTGCGCCGAAGCGCGCGTTTCCGACGCCGTCCATGAAGCCCCACGCCGCGCAAGCCGCGGGCCGAATGCAAAACAAGCCAGCCGCAGCGCCATCTTTGAATCCGGGAGCCGCCGGGGAACAAAAACCCCGACTCTCTCGCCTGCCTCCTTCTCGTTTCCCGGCGATCGCTAAGGACCGTTTCGTAGTCGATGTCTGGAAGGCGCTTCCGCAGATGTCTCGATGCGGCGGCCGTGATTCCGCGCACTGGTTGGCCTGCCGCCGTCGGCGCGGGACATTCCTTAGCGGCTACAGACGCTACGTCGGCGCACTGCTGATGGAGGCTGCTCCTCCTGCAGCACGCCGGTGGTGGCACTGTCCCGGGCTGCGCGAGCGACAAATTAGGAATATTAATTAGACCGCGCCTGCGTGTTCGAGTCGCGCGCGCTTTCCCTCGCCACCACGGCGCGTTTCTGACGCAGCTGGTGCCCGGGAACTCTCGCCGCAAGGAGGAGAGAGGAATGGTTCTTCTCTATGTCGATGGAAAGCTGCGTAGGCCAAGATATCGATCGGCCACATGCGGAGGAGAGGAGAAGGCACAGACAAAGGCGTAGTGGCATTTCGTGTAGGCAGAAGTTCATAGTAGGAACATTCCTTTCGCGCTGAGGGGAAAGAGATGATCGGAACGTTCTTCATCTCATCCTCCAATATTTCATCTGCGTGGGCCTGTGATGCGCAAACTATCGTAAATCAATTCTTTGACAGCGAAGCTGTTTAATCTATAGCAACAATTAGTGTGTGCGGCCTATCATAAAGATATGATTATCACAAACGGGTATATGCCACAGAAATGGATTCAATACCACAACTCCCCACTGGTCACCCAGAAAATGAAGAAGGCAGCAGTTAACAAGTGTTATTGCGATAGACGCATCACAATGTAAAGAAAAGTTAGGAGTTGGTATATTTAGCCCGAATATAGATTGGTCTTATTCCCTTCGACTACCGTTTTCATACCCGTTTTTGTGGCTGAATTTCTGGCAGCAGTCCTCGCATTACGCAAGTTGAATACGGCAATAACATCAGCTGTTATAACAACAGATTCTCTATCTCTCTGCGCGGCACTGTCTGTTGGTGCTGAAGCTCAAGTAATAAAGACGTTCCGTGCGCTAGTATTTGCGCACTTAAAAAAAATCCAATTAGTTTAGGTGCCTGAGCATAAAGGCATGTTCCCAAATGAAATAGCCGATTCCTAGCTAAGTGGTCAATGAGCGTACCGATTCTACCGTACTTTCGAACATCCGCTTATTTGACTGCTGTTCGATTCCGCAGACGTGCGCTTATGGAAGTCTTTGGAGGCAAAGCTCTGACAAACGCTACCAAACATTACCATTTATTTTATCCTTGGCGAAGAGCCATTTGCCAAACTTGTAAACTACGAGTGGCTATCGCAAGGCTGCGCTGCCGGGCACCGAATCTAAATTTCTAAGCACGTCTGCTCAGGCACCTTCGCACTGTGCGCGTCTGGGGTGAACTGGAAAAGAATAGATCATTTCCTTTTGACCTACAGGTGGTTTGCTACAGTACGAAAGGCCCTTTTAGAAAAACCTTTACGTTATATTGGTATGGATTTCAGTGTGCCTGTCATTTTGTTTTATGGAGCCCCAAATTGTTGGATTTCCTGTGCGAAAGAATGCGCGGCTGTCAGCGACTATGTTAATGAACTCATAGGTTGACTAATTAATCTGTATCATCATCCTAACGTGTCTATAACACTATATACGTATAAAAATGAGAATAGTGCTCTAATTTAAGGATAAATTGTTTTCTTTATTTATATAATTATATGCATTACATCAAGCACTGCAATTTTCTAGGTCAGCTGTAATATTTCTAATAGTTTCATTATTCTAAAACGGCACACTATTTTACAAAACCACTTAATTCTTGGCGAATCCCCACGGTGGGTATGTACCATGGGCAATAGGTAAACAAGAACAAGAACAAAATGACTCCAAAGCAATGGCTGCGAGCCGAAGACCCCGGGTATACGTGCAACGTGCGACAGAATGCTATAGGAAACGGGAAAGGTAACGGCGGCCACGGGAAGACCCTGACGGAGTGGCAAGCCTATATAAGCCAACCATGACGCGCCCGCAGATCTATGCGAGGTGCGAACGCTTCGTTTCAGCGCGAATTTCGGTCTCTCGAGTTTGGACATCATGTCTGTGATTTCAGCGGTTCAACTCGAACCGGTTTGCACCGAGAACCAACGTGGAAACATTCTAGCATCACTCATATACCTCGAGCCCAGAGACGACCTGGAATCAACCTTAAAAACAACCCGCGTTACCTATATATACCCCGTAGATGCAACCTGACTATAGCCTTCAAAGAGAGAGAGAGAGAGAGTTAAACTTTATTGGCGATCAGGCGCGCGTTCTCTTCGCCCAGAGGTGGGTGACTTCCTCATTCCTGGTAGCCATGGCCAGCTGCCGGCGCCCGAGCCCTTTCCACCAGCTGGAGCTAGTGGTCCTCATAGTTTACCGACGTCAGCAACGCCTCCCACTGGTCTTCTGGATTTTCTTGTACGCTGTGTGCGTCCACGGGCGGTACACTCGGGTTGTTTCGACAGCGTTATGCCATGTCTTTGCAGAGCCCTGTCAGTATTCACAGTTCCCGCTTTAGTTGCTGGGGTACAATGCGTGTAGTAGTGCACCGTGCGGATACCGGGTGCCTGCCTGTAGCTTTTTCCAGGTCACCGCTTGCTTCCTACTCAACCTTTTGTTAGCAGGTGGACAGTAACGTCGTTGCTTGCCGTAGTGCGCAATTATACAGTCTTGCTGTTTCAAGTGTTGCTGCTCGTAAATGCAAGCTTCGCCAATTATTTATTGTGCCTCCTTGCTTAACACGTTCTCTGAATTTGCACAACTCCTTATTTTGTAGCCCCCTCCTAATCAGTAAACCTTTATTCATGCTTCGAGTGCTGCTGGGCCTTTGCTTTTTGGGGTGAAGTGTGAACGAGTTCATATTTCAAAGAGGAACAATCGGTTCTGGTGTGTTCCCCGGAACCATAGAGTTTGGTAGTACATGGTTGTTTTATTGATTGATTGACTCATTCATTCATTGGTCAATTAGGTTTAAATCTTCAGGCAACAGCAACCTTGCAGTGAATATACCAGTCTCGCATCGGGCACTTTTTTTTTTATCAGGAGGCGCTCAAGAGCTCCGACATCGCCGCTCAGCAACGGCCTGCCAAGAGGGTCCACGACGCGGCGGTCAGGCACCGCCTGCACGTTCCGACGTGGAAGCTGCCCACGGTGGCTCTTCCCCCATAAAGGGACTTTCTATAGTCACCCGTCAGGACCTGAATAAAGTTCATTGTCTCACTGCCTGCGGTTCGCGGAGTAGCGAGATCGGCGTCTCCTGCCACGCAGTGGGGTCTGATCCATGGCGTGCCCGACATTATTTTTTTTGTCCCACAACGCGAGTGGGTACAGAAAGGCGCCACTTCTTCACGCGCGTTTTAAGGGGAGTTCTCAAATTGAAAGAAAAAGTAGGAGCGTTCCGTAATAAAGAACACACTCCTAGCTCCTCTGAGATCTTCGTGAATATAAAATGCTCGCCGTTATTGTGCTAGCGGGTGCATGACGCGTGGTAGAGATGAATAGACAGTATGGTGTGGAGCAAGGTGTCGTGGTTTCGACTCTCCAGTCGGGTGTTTCGGTATCTTTTAGATGCGAAGCAGCTGGTTGACTAGCCTGTGCAACGCTGTCGTTCCGTAAAAACGCGCCGCGCGCGCAGGTGTTGGCTCGGTGCCAAGTAGATCACCCCGCGGCTGTGCGTTGACGTCACGCTCCCCCTCACAGTACACGCGCTCGCCGCGGCGCCTGCAGTTGCCGCCTCGTCCGTTCTCCCGCAACACCTGCCGCGACCGCCGCTAGCTACACCACCGACTCGTCGGTTCACGCGCAATAATCTTGACGCTCGCCTAATGCACGCGTTGAAACATGTCTGTACGTGTCACCTACAAGACCTACGCCAGCCATCGCTTCAAACGAATCTTCCAGCGCTCACCGCAGAACCCGCGTCACCGCCGTTCAACTCGTGACGCCACCCGTGCGCAACTGTGCTGTTTCGCTTCCTACCAAATTCCGTTTGGGGAGATGGTCCAAATTTTTTGTTCTACACTCTTGGAAAGGGGTATAATTTTTGGACGGTGTGCTAAGAACTCTGAAGAAATAGTTTCCACTAGATTCACACGAGATAGGGTAACTTGCCGTAAATAATCATGATGGAGTCTCAATTGATCAAGTCATGTTGACTGTTGTTCACTGTATATGGCGTTGCATGAATGGCTGAATGCCACTTTGACCCAGACGCAAAGCCAGCAAGAATTGATTTCAGTCGCAGCATGTCTCCGTTCATTGAGATTATTTAATATGCAAGAGTCTGTACCAGAATGGCTGCCGAGGATAGAACCTCTTGCATCACTGAAACCATTTTAAGTTGACAAAACCGGTCCAAATGGGACAGAGGGCATCTTGTCTTACATTTAGCGGTGCAGCTCCTCACGCTGTGGCACAGTCCCTCCGTCGTTGTTCGTCGGAGCCACCCCCCGGCTGCTTCTCACAATGTTCACTAGATGGCACTGTGTTTTGACAGTACGCCTCATTAACGAACTAGGACATAACACTAAAGAAGCATTGTTAAAAGCAGTAGAAAAAAGCTTAAAGGACGGACAAATACCGGACAGTTGGCGACAAAGTAGAATGAACTTAATCTATAAAGGCAAGGGAGAAAAGGACAAGATTCGCTCGTATAGACCACTAACCATTACATCGGTACTATACAGGTTGGCGATGCAAGCAGTAAAAATGAAAATAGAAACATGGGCCGAACATAACGATATTTTGGGAGAACTTCAGAACGGATTTCGAGTCGACAGGCGGTTAGACGATAACCTGTTTGTTCTCACTCAGTGTATAGAAATGTCTAAAATAGAGAATAGGCCCTTGTACGTGGCTTTTCTAGACATCACTGGGGCATACGACAACGTTAATCAGGAAATTTTGTGGGATATATTGAAAGGAATGGGCATGGGCGACGACTGTATACAGCTTTTGAGGGAGATATACCGAGAAAATACAGTTTGCATAGAGTGGGAAGGAATGCGTAGCAAAGAGAACGTTGAGGTTAGCAGGGGTCTGAGACAGGGATGTCCTTTGTCTCCGCTGTTATTCATGCTGTACATGGTGAGTATGGAAAAAGCGCTAGAAGGTAGCAACATTGGCTTTAATCTGTCACACAAACAGGGCGGCATGATGATTGAGCAGAAGCTTCCAGGTTTATTTTATGCGGACGATATCG